TACTTTTTAATTGCGGCAAATAATATTTGTATAGTTGAAACCAGCGTAAAAAGTACTATCGGTCTGCATTTTTAGTTTTCCCATAGCTGAACGGTTGGTTATCTTGATGTGTTCCAAAATTTTTAATAATATTTTGTAGGTCTTTTAATTGAAAAGTTTGTTGTGGTGGGATGTATGTGCATAAGACTGTGATAATAAATCCTAAGTTAATTTCGATAGCAATAGTTGATATATCTGATTGCACCTGAATTTGTTTATGTGGGATATCTTTCTTTACAAGGACGGCAACGCCTTGTTTACCGAATGTGTTTTGAGGTAAGTTAAAGAAATAATGATTATACGAATTTGAAATGGTTGTAGTTTTGTTATAAGGTAAGTGGGTTTCCTGTAATGATATAAGTGACGGGGAATGTTCTTTTATGAGAAGTTGAAGTTCGTGCGAATTATTAATAAGTCCTTTGATATTCCATGCAACAAAGTGAAAGTCATCTCAGTGGAGGACAAAATACAGACAAAAAAAAGGGAAAAGAAAATTTTTTTTTTTTTAGGAAATATCTACATATCTAGATTGTGAAGTGAAATAATCGTTATTTTTCAAAAGCTGCTTGGTAAGGCTAGTAAATGGCGAGAAACTTAAAGATGGGGTTGGTTGTGCTGGGCTAGCTTCGTTGCTCGCGGTTGCTGACGATGAAAAACTCTTAGTGGTGACAGAAGTGTTAGTGTTGTTGCATATGGACTCCGATAGTTCGTTTCCTGTGACTATAGGTTTAGGAGTTTTAAGGACGAATTTGTTGCTTACTTTTGGAGTAATATGTGGAGTGAGTAACGTATTCTCTGTGTGGTTTGTTTTTAATGTTGTTGATTGCATGTTATCAGTGGGGGTAAGAGAGGTTGATTTCGCTTGGGGTACATTGGCTGCGTTACTGACAACGCCAGCAAAAGATGAGGTTTGGGGAAGCTGGGCTATGTATTTATTTTTAGCTTGCTTCAGTGTGCATTTTTGCTGAAT